CAAAACGCAACGTTACCTACGAGACAGTGAGCAGGTTAAAGTTATGACTTAAAGCTTCCAGCTACAAAGCAATGTAAAATAAAATGCCCCAATAGAGCATATCCTATAACAACAAGCTTTACTAGAAAGCACTACATTTGCTTTTGCCTACAAATGTAACTTTCCTGTTATTTTTTATAGCTTAGGTTTGTGCTAACTTCTAAAACAGTTTTTACTATAAAAATCAAGCAGCTTTTGATTCATCAGTAACACATCCAAAGAAGGTTTAACCCCTTTCTCTTGGGAAGTGTGTATTTATAATTTGCGTATGCTTCATTTTTAAAGTGCTAACTTTAATATACAATGCTTTGCTGAATTACTTTAGCATACATAAAAAGTTATAATTATCCAATAATTTTCACAATTAAGGCAGCAGTCGACGATAACAATCATTCATCTCATGACGTATTTTTGAGAACACCACCTATACACAGGTTGAGTACAAATATGAAATAATGAAGAACATAACACACCATGAACAACTGTTTTTTAAGAATTTTAGATACACATTTAAGATGATGTAAGATGTCATTGCCATAATGTCAATTATATGAAAGCGCTTTAAAAGCTACTAAGAAACGTTTTATCAAAACATTCCTTTGGCATCTTAAATATTTTTAATTCAATTTGGTGATAAACCATCTGCGTGCTGTTTTGCATGGTGTTTGCAGGTACTAAAGAATTCTTTTTCCTTTGATTATTTACAGTGCAGTTAATTTTTTGAAACCATTATGAGACACAGGAATAAGTCAGTACGCGAAAGCATGTACTGCACAGAAAAGGCGTCGGTCGTAGATTTCTCATACTTGTCATCCTCATAATTGCAATATGGTTAAGAGCAAAATAAAGTGTCGGCTATTTTACGGCAATACAAAAGAATAGGATATGTAGTGACCTGGTGTGTTTCCCTGATTGAGTGTAGTGGTTTACAATTATGAGTGGTTTTACTGGTAACCAGTATAATGAATTGTCTGAGGTAGCCTTGTCAGATAAACTGTGAGGTAATCAACTAAAGCTCAAACTTAAAAGGTCTAGGTTAAACACCAACAAGTAATTCTTAATGAAGCGGATGATCGCCAGCTGGAATAAGTTACCATCAGCATAATATATTGCAGAACGTAGAGGCCATAAAAATAGGCCTAGATAGGTGTTGGTCTTAGAATTTCCGACATTACTGAAAAGTTATTGCACAGTGCCGTTTTAAACGCGCAATGACTGACCGTAAAAGAATTCCTTTGTGTTTCCTTTAATCTATTGCTATAGCCACGGCGACTAACCGGGAGTCAAACGATGGAGGCTCCGGTCCACTTACTGGTGCGAGAAACCGTAGGCTAGTTAGAAGGAAGTCTGTATCATCCTTTGAAACTGATTTGACCAGTGTAAAAGATTTTACATTATAAAAGTATACGTCCTATGTAACTATTGCATCAAGCGTCTTGCTTATTTGTATTTTATTACCTTTTGTTCGCGTCTAGATACAAATTCACTAATCTGGAACGAACCGTTTTTGGCTTCCAACAGCCACTTACAGACTTTTCGTACGCTCGCAACTTCCCCAGCTATTTCTAGCTTCGATGCTATAAGTTTACAGCTGCTAGCTTAGAAGTTCTTTAGTCTGTTTTTTGCTTGCATTTAGTATTGTTGTTTGTCTACTGTAGGCCGTTCGTTTGCGAATAAATATGATCTCCCGGTTTATGGTGCATCAAATCTACGTAACCAATTGATATGAAATACATCACGCACCAAAAATGCTGGCTAAATAACAGGCAGAAAATGTATATATTGACGAGTAGGTTTGTGTTACTAAAGCTGCGCATCATATTTGACCGCAGTTAGAAGGGGAAATCGGGTTACATGCATAGCTATACTAATCAGATGATTACAACTTTTAGAAAGTATAAGTCGCCAAGACGAGAAAGGCCAATACGTAACATCTAACATAAAAAGATGCAATGTATCCTTAAATGAATGTGTATATTCCTAATTATGTCATACAAAAATGCTAACAGTTCGTCTCATGAGCACTTAGCAAAAAGTAAATTCATTACCACAACTTAAAGCCGTTGCGCAAAAAGGCAAGCTACCGCATTAAAATTGGGCAAGTGTATTTTACTTAGCAATTTGTCTTGTCATAGTTACTATAAGGAAACCTACTGTGGGACTATCCAATATCTTCGAGTCGCTGAAATCGGATCGGTCACCATTAGTTACAAACTGTCTAAATGCCGTTGATTGGCAGTAAGCTTCTTGATTCAAAATAGAAAAGCCCTTCAGCATCATATCGCTAATTCCTTCAATTAAAGTGAAGGACATCTGAAAAGCCTTCGGAAGTTCATTAAGCGGAAGCGATGCAGCCGCAACTGACGCTAGTTTTACCTAAAGCAATATGACGTATGATAGACCTTACGAGATATTTAAAATCATGTATGCCGTTCATCTCGTCACGAGTATTTTGCAGTACACTGTGTGTAGGGGAATCCTTAACACCCATTGTCATATCACCAAACCTCGGTGGAATTGCCGCTACTCACAGAGCTCACACAAATCAATGCATTACAACAAAGAGTATAAGTAACCAAAATATCATGTATAAAAGACATATTTTTAGGTTAGCTCCTCACAGTGTTTTTGCTAGTACGATATGGCTGAAAAGGAATTATCGATCTACGCGGTTTGAATTGTCTGGTAGGAAAGGAGAAGTCACGTGATATTCATTTTGGACGCATTCTTCAGTGCCTATATCCTTAATACACGCTGAAGACTGGATTTTAGTAGTTGGGGCATAACGACGCCTGTTTCGAGTTCCAGCAATGCCACTGAATTTCGTGAAATGGCTAGAAGCAAAATAACACGATGGAGAAATCGATTCTCGTTCTTTGTCACTCGGTCGCGAAATGCAAAAAAGTGCTCAGGTGAAAATTTGGCTAACATACTGAAGGGTGATGTTAACGATGGATTAATGAACTCTGGCTTGCAAGTACTCGCCACTGATGGCAACAAGTTCAACAAGAACCCCCATTCTCCTATCCTCACAAGGCATCGAGGAACACTGCATAAATTCAATTACCATCGAAACGTAAACTCATCCTTGAATTTCACGAAGGACTCCCTACTGGATTCCATGAGTTTCCATTCCCTTCCATCATCGAAACAAATTGGATTGGCTAGTCAGTTGATGTTGCATGCCAGCGAAGAATGTAAACATTGCGCAGCTAGAGGGCTAGACATTGTCGCTAGAGATTCGCGAGTATTCAGAGGCATAAATGCTAACCAGTTGTGCACATTTAGTGCTTCACCCAGAAGCGGTTGTGAATTCAGGTTTTCCTTCACTTTCTTCCTGAAGCACTCGTCGGGTTACACGGAAGATGCATTATCTGAATTACCTTTAATCCTCTCAACTATGTTACCAAACTTTCCGGAAAGAACCAGAATAAGAGTAAAGATGAACGACCATCTTCGGGGAGAAGAAGGAGTCAGAGGATGGCTGATTGTTTTCGAGTCAGAGCAAGTGGAAGACTTATGTTCCTCCATAGACTTAGTGGACAGATGTATGCCGATAGGGGGTGTATGGAGCAGTGGCACGTTCAGTGTCGCGTAATACAGGAGTTTATTAACATTTATCGCATCTTAGGATGCTATCTTGCTATTTTTTGTGCAGCCATTGCTAAAGCTGCTGGAAGCCAAACTGGAGAATATTACCCATTTGCTTAAATGGTGCTTTTTCTATTTATTACGCTTGCAACGAGCAGACATTCAATTATACGATACAAAATAATGTTAAATGTCGAACCCAGCCAGTCCTTCCGCATGGGCACTTTATCCTTAAAGGAAAACCTTGCGTTTTCCCAGGATACGGATCAGGAAGATGTCCACCTTGTGATAACTACGATGCAATCTAATGCCTCACATTGGAAAACCAGCTGCTGGAAATGTAGTCACTGTACTGGGTGGTGGAGTGGAGTTTGCTTGGCAAGCTTCTTATGAAACACAACGCGCAGTAGCAAATGTGACCCACAATAGCTTAATCGACTGGTCAATATAAATCCTGGTTAAACCCGCGTTAGGGAGAAGAAGGAAGAAAACGAAAACGTTTGGTTTCGAAACATACAGTTCCGCTTGCTAGGGAGCATTGTAAAAGAAACTCACCTAAGGGAACAGCATTATCATCACCCCAGACCTAGAAGACTCACGGTAGCAAAAAACCGGAAGGGCGCGAATTGTCATCCATCTGGTTGAGTCAAGCACACGCATTCAACGTACAAACATTGCATGCCTTCTAGTTTTCCTAGGCACACGGTGAAACTATGTCTTTGAACTACTTTGCAACTCTTACCTAGACAGCGGGAGGGTCACGGAAACGCTACAACCCTTTTCAGAGAATAGAACTGTCGTTTTCCCTCCGTTATGTTGAGGAATTGTCCGCAATGCACAGCTCTTTGCGTGACCAGGTGTCGGTATCTGGTATAGTTGCTGTGTGAGTACAAGCCGGATCTGACCATAAGGGCTTCCAAACGTGTCCTTCCAAAAGTAAGTTAAGGTGTGGGTCGTCTGTACCCCGGTAGGTAGTACAGAGGCTTCCCTGACGTGGAGCACAAACAATCGCGCGTGGAAGTGGCCGATATCATTGTAAACCACGGAAAGTTATATCGTCTGAAAAAGCAAACGGGCAGTAAGAGACTTGGTATAAGGAAAGCTATACACGCAGAGCAAGGACAGCCTTTCCACAAGTTAAAACATTTCGAGCATAAGTGAAACACGTTAACAGACAAGGGAATCGGTAGAGATTGTCAGCGTCCTAGCCAGTCACGGATTGAACTGCTCCGGGAGCAGTCACATTGGGTCCGCCCTCTCACTTCATCAGTCGAAATTGAGATGGGACTGCTGAAATTGAATATTGCCGCGGGATCCGTTGAGTTTAATCCAGCCCAATTCGAATTCGGGGGACCGGCTTGCGTGGATAATTTGCACGAATTACTATTGAAACTGTGAGAGCAGGAAACTGCCTAGACAAAATGGAGCCATTCCTTCATTGTTCCGAAGTTCGAGGGAGCTCAGGGTCGGAAGGCGGTAACCATAGCTGAATCATTTTGACCTCCATTGCTCATTAATTGCTAGCCTGTGCCACCCTTCACAGACGGACTGGCACTCATGAAATCCGGATTCCTGAAGGACAAGCCGGGTTTCGTCAAGGGCGTGGCTCCACCGACCACACAAATACCACATATATTTGCGGTCCAAAGTCCTCGTGTTGCTCGGCATCAAAGGTGATTTCAATTTGGTTGATGGACTTGCTCTTTGTGACTGTCCGCTCAGGAAAGGTGTGCTGGTTAAATATGTAAATATTTCCCGAGCATAATATGCGCGTAGCTCGGGCAGAGTGAGGGCTTACTGCAAGCCCAGCTATGTGTGACAAGGAGGATTGCTGTCACCTTTCATACATAATTTCTCCATTTACTAAGTAAAAGAGGTCGCGTTTATAGGACACGACTTAGAACGTGTGGAGATGCTCCCAGAAAAACGCCTTCTTGACTTGGAATATGCTAATGCTAATGTCCAAATCTGTGATAACTTTCAAACTTGCGAAGCGGCACTGGACAAATTAGCGGCAGATGTCAGCCGATTCGGGTCTTGCTTTGCACCCTCGAAGTGCAAAGCTTTCTTCCAAGTTTTCAAGGGACCACCTTCTGCGCTCACTCTTGTTCGGGATCAGCCGGAAGCCGTACAGATTTCAGCTATCTGGGTAGTTGTATCGGCGCACTTGGGATTGAAGAGGAGATCAGGAACCGCATAGAAGTAGTTTGAGGAGTTGTTACTAACCTTCGCCACCCATGATACCGGGGAACATCATTCTTTTTCTAAACGGTAGAGTGCACAATGCCGCAGTCCGTTTGACTCTCTTTTTCGCCTGTGCTTCAATACTCATTAGATCAGTAGACATAAAGAGGCTAGTTACGTTCAACCACCGTTGCCTTTGCAGTTTGGCTCACATCCCGTAGGAACACCGAGAAAGCAAGGAGCATGTTCGACGTCGTGTTTATGGCATATAAAGGGAAATGATACGCTCAGTGGCGTTATTTCACGTAGCAGTCTCCGATGGCTCGGTCACGTGTTCCGCATGCCAGCCCACCGACTCACATTTTTGGCACGCCGGAGTGCGGACGGAAGTCGTGTGTAAGGCGTGCCTAAGCAATGACTTAGTCGAGAGGAATGAAGTCCCTCACTTCGAAGCTAGCCTCAGTTGAAGCGGTTCGGCTCCTGGTTGGGGTCCGAAAGATGATGAACACCTCTGGTTAGATACACTGGTTGATATGGCTAGGAGCCGACCTCAGTGGGGTTCTTGCTGTGGGTTTTGTTGTCCCTCCGTACCTCTCAGCCCACGATTCCAACCGCGAGCTCATTTCTTCGCGTAATTTAAATTTTGCATAATAAACTGCTTTTACTGTATAGCACCTGGTTGGTAGCTTTCCGGAACGATGGCCATCCATTACTGGGTGCTCAGCTGCTGTGCACTTCTTATATTTTTTTCTTTTCTTATGTATTGCGGCACGGTAGTTGAGGTGCTTTTCACCTCTATAGTTAACATGTATGGGACTAAATAAAGTTTGCACAGGTAACTTTCTAAATCCAACTGTAGAGCGTTTTGCTTGCCTTACATCGTAATATTGTCCCATGCCATCACTACTTGTAAGCAAAATATTGCGTTCGCAGATACTTTGCGACGGAAGGTAGCATTATCAATTAGATGAACAACTGATACTCCGTTGAGCTGCAGCCTTAGAAAAAGCGCAGGAATTCCTTTTACTCATTGTGGTACATTGCTCGATTTAATAAGGTGTTCCACCCATAGATCCGCTTTACATATCGAGCGCTGAAGAACACACGCGATGCCTTCAATCCTTCTAGCATAGATTAAGGGGCCTGTAGGAGGCAGGTGGATGATAATTAAATTCTCAGATAATTATGCAAATTGCGTATCAAGATCAAAGTTGGTATAACGCTAAACTGAGGTCTTGTTTAAGAGGAACACTATTCAATCAACTCATAAGCCTATTGTTTCTGGTAAAGCAACGGTTTGTGAGCTTTAAGGTGCACTCACAGCTGTAGGAAGAAAGGATGTATAGTTTATTCTTCAGAACAAACGGCGTAAATAAAGTTCAGCAATTCGCAGATACTGTATCATTACTTCTACAACCTATAAAGTATAACTTCTAGGTTTATTTATGGTTAACCAGTACGAAGAAACTAGTTTCTTTGATCTTTACTTTCTTCGATTTATATATACATATATATATATATATATATTAGGCGTATCTCGGGAACTGCTCAGTAACGACAATTGGCAGCGTGTAAGCGTTGTTGGCCATTGCAAATCAAAGAACTGAATGTTAGACAGCTAAATAAAAGCACTGGTTGTTTCCATCAATAGCAAAAATTTTGCGCTATAACCTAGGCTGTGCAGTTCAAATTGTTGATATAAGTTGACTGGTTTTCAAAAATCCTTTAGATGAGTGACGATTACAAGCCCCGAATATGACATAGTCAACTATCGATATTGCAAGGCAATAGTCTTACGATTCAAACATAGCGAAATATATTTTTGGAAGAAAAGCAATGCAGAGAATGAGGGTATAAGTTGCTTATGTAACTTGAAAAACACAGATGAGATGACTTTGGGCAAGTCAGTGTTGAGTTAGGATTGAAAGCAGCAAGAGAAGGTGCGTTGTGTTCATTTGTTCTCCGAGCTTAACGGTTTGGTTGTAAACGTTTCATCACCATGCGAAGTGGCATCTTCAGTTGCGTGCAATCAAGCTATGACGATAATGTACGTTAGAGTGCAGTATGATTTTTGTGTCCTTAAACGTTGTTGCACTTATTAAGTATTAGTTTATCTTACTTAGGCGTTTCAATGACAGTCCAAAGCAGTAAAATGACAACTACCTTACTCAAATTCAAAGCCAACAGTTATATCCTCAGACCACCTATGTGTTTTAGAAGTAACTCAACAGCTGTGTCTTGCCTACCGAATGGAAGGAGGCTGTTGTCTGCCCGCTCTTTAAGTGCGGTGACAAAGACCTACCGGCTAATTACAGGCCTGTCAGCTGGAGTAGCGTGGTTGTTATGTTACTTGAAAACTTAGTACGAGATACAGCGGAGAACCATTTAAGTAGGTCTAACCTGATTAGCATCGAGAAACAGTTTTCGCAAAGGATGTTCGTCTCAAACGAACTTGCTGGTGGCTCGTGAGAGCTGTGCTGAAGCTGTAGACAGCGGACATGCGGTGGCTGTGGTGTTCATTGACTTCACCAAGACCTTTGACACTGTCCCCCATTCGCAACGCTCACTGAAGTTGAGGTCTTATGGAATATCTGGTCACGCTCTTTAGTGGCTGTCACCTTCTCTGGATGGAGGGGAACAGTGCATTCGCGTGGGAAACAG